TTTTTTTTTTTTTTTTTTTTTTTTTTTTTGCTTATACACTACTGTGTCGACTGAAAAATGTTAAGAAGAGAAGAAGAAAAAAAAAAGCCATAGATCATTTGGAATAATGTTGCAAACTGACAGAACAGTATTTCAGCTTTTACTGTTTGCTTCAATGTGCACATACTGATTATCGATGAAACAATCCAAAGTACTCATAGTAATCCAAAGTAAAAATTTATTTTTTTCTACTGTTCTCATTTTTGGCTGAAAGAACTTGTAACAGTTTAAATATTTTGCTTGGTAAGTTTGATGAGAAAAAAGGATTTTACAGTATAATATTTTGATACAGTTGATAGATACAGTTTGTAATAGCAGCAACTGTTGTTTTACAAAAAAAAAAAAAGAAAAAAAAAAGGAGAACATTGTCAATAATATTGTTGAACAAATATTAGCACCTAATAATTTATAAAATTTTGTTGCTTTTTTTTTTTTTTTTGCTATTTAACAACTGTTAAATTAGCGTAGTGTAAAAAATTGTTTCATTCTTCATTTTGTTTTTTACTACTTTACAAGAAAACAAAAAAATTGGTGAACTCTCCTCAAAAATTGCTAGCTATCTGTCAATAAATGTTACAAATTTTATTTTAGATGTTAAACTGCTTTATCAAAAAAAATTTTTTTTTCTTTGCTTATTTATTATTGAAGTTTTTTGTCCGTTACTCTGCTTTTTTTTTCGCTTTTGTAGAAAAGAAAAGTTTGGTTTTCAATTTTCATATTCTTTAACAAAACTTCTACCGCAAAGCTTGTTGAAATACTGTTAAAACAGATAAAAAACCACAACAAAACAGAAGCAGATTGTTACAAAACTGTGTTAACCATTATGTTGACTTCTTTTTAGTTTGGTTGAAAATAAGAAATCATTCAAAAGAAAAAACAGTTAAATACTTTAAAGAAAATTAAGATTACAATATTTTTCTCATCATTCTTCTTTTTTTAATCTTATAAAATGCCGAATCATTTATTTGCTGTCAGACGGTAATTTGGTTGGCAGTGATCTATAAACGTTAAAAATTGAAACATTTTTGGGTTATCATATCATCAACTTGTCTAACCGTTGTTGTCCATAGCAGAAACATTTAAAAAAGCAAAAATTTTTTTTCTTGATAACAAAAAGTTAGCACAAAAATTAGAGCGAAAAAAAAAATAATAGGAAATTTTATACAACACTGAACACAGTGTATTGTTGTTTCTGATGTTTGACAACGTCAAAAAAATTTTTCTACAGATTCTATCTGTTATACCGTTTACCATTGAACAATAAATGAGGATTTCAAAAAAAAAAAACTACAATTTTTTTTTGTCAACTTTTTAACATATTTTGAACCAGATGCTTGTTTGATAAAATTTTTTGATCTTTTTTTTTGATTCAACTACTGTATGGTCAACAACGATGTCTATCAGGCTGTAAATTTGCAGTTTTATTCGGTATGTTCAATTGCTCTTACTGGCAACTACTGACCAGTTCAAACTGTCTAATGAGATTACTAAGCTGAAAAACTAAGAAAAAAAATTAAAGTAAAAAAAGATTGGAGAACAGAAACAAAAACAGTGTGCTATAACTTCTCATTCAAATAACTTATCATTCGAAACAGTCGGAGCGTTATCCTAAATCTTCAGAATTGTTTATCGTTGTATCACAGATACAGTTGCCATCGAAACACTTTTACCATCGCCAATTTAATGGATGCCTTCTACCGATTAGAGGCAACAATTAAATGGCAGCAGTAGCAGGATTCAGTCGAACATTTAACTTCTGAAGCAAATGGATACCGGGTGTAAATTAATTATCAAGCAAGTTTATTCTAA